CCGTTGTTAACAGCAGAGGAATTTGTACCTGGTCGGAAACGTGGAGCGTTTCCTACCTGACGGTTAGAACGAGATTGTAGGATCGCTTTGCGAGTCTTACATTCCCAAAAATTGGATTTGTGGTTTTCACCACAATTTGAACATTTAAATTTCTTAGGATCTTCCTTCACAGGACAGTCGTCCTTTGCGTGAGAGGAATCACCACAATTCATGCATTTAGCTGGCATGTAGCAATTTTTAGTTCCGTGACCCCATCCCTGGCACTTACGGCACTGGGTGAGGTTTTGGAAATTTCCTCCAGTCTTCCTGAAGTGTTCCCACTTCACTCGGACATGGAGCATAAGGCTAGCTTTTTCTAAGGCCTTAAGGTTGTTTAGTTCACTAGACTTGAAGTGAACTAAATAAAAATCATTAGAAATACCGTTGCGCGAATCGCCAGGACGGGATTTCATTTTCATTTTGATTACTTGGAGTGGCACAACTCCAAGTAATTTTGCCAGTTCATCTTTGATCTGATCCAGGGATTCACCACTGGGCAGTCCTTTCATGACAACCTTGAACACACGTTCAGTTTTGGTGTCGTAAGTAAAAAATTTGTGCTTCTTCTCAGTAAGATACTTGAGAAGACATTTAAATCCGTCCAAGGTTTCAGCCAATACACGGCATTCACCCCGACGTCCAATTTGTAGTGAAAACTTAACTTTCACGAAATTCAAAAGTTCCATGCGAAGAGCATGGAAATCGGTAGTGGTTATCACAATAGGGGGAATCTTTTCCTTCTTGGCATTAAGCCGGGAAAGTTTACTAGAATTTTTCTTGGATGATGGATCATTCTCATCATCCGTGAGCAAATCAAATTGATTACTCAAATTAATTTCATCAGAAGGGGGGTCAAGAGTTTGCCCCTTTCTTTTGCGTTTAGGCGCCATGGCGGCAGTAAATTTTTATCCAAATCGACTTCCAAGCAGATTACTATAAGAATCTGAAGGATCGAAGAGGAATTTTCCAAATCGATATCCAAGAAGGATTACCTCGGGTAGGGTCCAAACAAGGATCGAAGAGGAATAAGAGTTGAACAAGGTAGAAAATTTTTACAGGTTGAGCACTGAAGTTGCTGTTTAAATTTGTTGTAGCTTTAGGTAGTAGTAACACTTCCTTCAGCAAAAAGCAAATAGATCCGCACGGCAAGAGAGCACGATGCGGACTGTGGCGATTATATTCTATATTTTGTTGCAATACCTTTCGTGGAGCATTCATAGCATCATAATGTTTGTTTACTTTGCACGATAGGCAGCCGTTTTGACAGTACAATAGGTAGACTTAGCTTCACTCTTGGCGTGACTCATTATACACCGACTCAATGATGCAATTTTTTAGTCAAAATGAATGGAAGGCACCCTGGTTCCAATGTCAAATGTCTTGACGTCAGAACAACATTAGAATAGCAAATTTTTATTCGAAAATGTGTGATGTATACACACGTTACCTTGCATAAATACATCTAATTCGCATTGATTGACGTCAGAAATACATTTGATTTTGATGCTGATGTAGACATCAGAATCAAATGTTATAGTACGTTCAGACTACAGAGTTATAACATGTTATAGCGCTATCTTGATGGTGGTTTCTGTGTTGCAATTATTTGACAACCGTTATAACATGTTATAACTCTCCAGTCTAGACAGCGTTTTAGGCTAATCTTCTTTCCTTTATTTAAGGTCGGTCTCTGTTCCGCAATCTAGTGCCAATCACCGACGGACATCGATTGACGGCAATCGAATGTGCAGGAAGGCAGCTTCCACACCTGCGTAGGATATCGCACCCATTCACAAACACACATGGGCCATGACCAACGGCTTTACTTCCCTTCCGAAGGAAGACGTGACCAGAGATTTTTATGCCTCAGACCTCGGCTGGGATTGAACCCAGACCCATTGGGGTGTTAGAAAGCAGTCACGCTTACCATTTAACTCGAGAATGGATAGACGGATTTGCAATATTTAAACATGGATTCGTTCGTCTTGATCCCCGCCGTGTTTTAATGCAATAAAATGTAGAAGAAACCCCCAGAAACATTCAAAACCCGCGAATCCCAGGAATGCCATGGGCCCCAAAAGGATCCAACGCTTTTGAATCCACTTTAATCTAGGAGGCGGTATCGCAAATATACGAAACCGCGACCGCGTCAGCTACTGTCATTCACAATCGATCGCCGACGTTTAGATTCAATTTTTCTATTTGAAAGTGGCCTTTCCAAACATTAATAGGGGAAATGACGGCTTCGGCATGACAGACTATTTTCGGCAACCCAAATTGAAACACTATTTTCACTGGATTTTCTTACGAAAACACTTCGCTGAATGCATGCAAACGATTCTTTATGCTTTCAGCTTCAATTTGACTATATTTTTACCACTGAGAAAAAGCAATCTAGCAGGGTTTTCTTGAAATGAAACACACGCACTACAAATTGTAGCTGATTTCGAGTTGCCGATAATAGAACAGCAGATTTACATGCAGTTCAAATGGAATGGTTGCCGAAGAAAAACGGGTTGCCGACAATACTCGCTCTCACTAGAGAAGATTGGAGCTTTGTAAAAGCGTTTCAAAACAGATTTTGACAATTCTTTCGACTGAAATTGTTCGAGCAGCTGGCAGCAAAAGATTGTAAACAAACCAATACTGCATATGTGTGCGTTCCATAGAGAAAAAGGCTATAGAAAGAAGGTCGCTGCTTAGGTTGCCGAGAATACGTATATTCCCCTATGTGAAAAAAATCTACTAAAATTTTGCAATATATGAGGTATACTGTAAATAATCAAGTGATTTGTGCCAAAATTCAATATTTTTTATATCATTTTCAGCAGTGTTCAAGGCATACCGGCTGTGACAGAAGTGAGACTGTTGGAGCTATTTATCCTCAAGTGGTAAGTTCAATTTTTTCTGAAGCCTTTCCAGGTTGTTACGAGATTAAATTCACAATTTTAATTGCTTTTAGTTCTGCCGTCGTATACCAACGATGCCCAAAGTGAAACGTGCGAACATAGGCCATTGCACACGCAATGCGAGCCAACAGAGAACCATCCGTGCGAGCCAAAATGCGGAACAGCGGCTACAAATGAACGAGGCCACACGACGCCGTTACCAAGGACAAACAAACATAACTCTTCATTGTGAATCTTCGTTGATGCATTTAACGGTAGATTTGAATATTATCAGTTCCGCGAACTACTCGCCGCAGCGCTAGCATCAGATCACTTTGACGTTCCTATACATTCTATAGAACTTGCAATATGCAATATTGTTTGCGAGATAGCGAGCAAGCTTGTTTTCCGCGAGAAGCCCGAGAGATGTCGTTACTGAGGTCCTATATTTTGATATACTATGTTATCAAGAAAAACTTTTTCAAAGAATTACGTCTGTTTGTCTGTGCCGTTACGCTGAAGCACGTTACGAAATTTCTGGCCAGTTACGCTCATACAAATCTATAGATTCCGTTACAAACGAAGAAGATGTCCCCACTGAATTTTTTAATTCATTGGAATAACCCGGATTGCCACCTCACGATTTGCAGCTGCAAATTGGATCGGTAATTATAATAACCTCTAAATTTTATAAGGTTATAATAATGCTGCGGATTGTCAATCAATCTCGACTTTACAATGGTACCAGGTTGGTTGTAAAGAAACTGATGAACAACGTCATTGAAGCGACAATTCTTAAAGGGAAGTATAAGGGTGAGGACGTTTTAATTCCGCGCATTCCAATGATATCAACCGATTTGCCTTTTGAATTCAAACGTGTACAATTTCCGGTTCGCCTTGCGTTTGCAATGACTGTAAACAAATCGCAAGGACAGTCATTGGATATTTGCGGATTGAATCTGGAATTTCCATGTTTCTCGTATGGTCAGTTATATGTTGCATGTTCACGAGTGGGCAAAAGCTCTGCATTGTATGTATTTGCTCCAGACGGCAAAACCAAAAATGTCGTTTATTCTAGAGCACTTCAATGACTAATCTGTATTATTTTCGAAAACAATGATATTCATTGTTTCTTCAAATAATTAAAACTAGGAGTTAGAATAGATCCATTCAGTATTATTCATTTTTCAAATATTATATCCCGGCAAGTATGTAACAACAAAGCATAGAAACAAGTTTATTGCTGCAAAAGTCAGGAGTTGAAATTAATGAATCCAGCTATTGTAGTAAGGAAGTTACAATGGTTCAAAATATTTTCCTAAATCTATCAAAAACAACACTAAAGTTTCCCAAAACATACAATTCCGAATAAACCGGAAATCATCACCCAGAGTAATCCATTGCCCTGAATGCCATTTCTCTTAATTTGTAATTTTGCATTATTTATAGCATGAGCTGTTCTTCCGTATAAATACTCTTACATCAAACTTAGCAAGGTATAACTCACGATTAAAAGAAGGAAATACAAATTTAATTGTTCATTATTCCTTAAATGATTAAATGAGCAGTTCTTTCATATTTGTACTGTTCTACCAACCTGAATAGTAAAACATTAAAGAAAAAAAAAAAACAACATAAAAAGCTTTTCAAAATAATGTTATTTTGAAAAATATTCATGGATTAGGAACCCATACGAAACTAGTTACTTCTTAAAGGTTAAGAAGGAAATAAACTTTAAAACAAAATCAGAAACAATTTTGAAAAAATATGTCAACTAATTATTTGAACCATTCATCATCATTCAAGGCAGTACAAAGTTTGCCGGGTCGGCTAGTTTTGAATAAAAAAATAAATAGAAAATGATGACCCCCTTCAATATTTTTGTAAGCTTGTGAAAAATACTGTGAAATTTTCAATTAGGACACATAAAAATTAGCAAAAATCAAAAAACAACAGCTTATGGTATAATTTTTGTTTTTTTTTGTTTGTGATATTTTACACTGAAAACCATTTATTGTGCACATTCAGGTAAATGAATGAAGACACACATTTGATCAACATAGAAACAAAAGCATATATTTCGACAGGCGTTTCAAATCACGGATATCACCTTCTCCATACATCACGACAACACCTCCTCGAAAGTCTCATCATCCACAATGCGGAACACATCCTTCCGGAAGTTCAACAGATCATCGTTGAAGCGTTGACTGCTCTCGTTGTGCAACTTGGTCATCACCGGTTTGATCGGCGCAATCGATGCCGTTTTGGCTAAATCTTCGTAGTATTCACCCTGCGCCGGTCCCATCATGTGTGCTTGACACTTCCTAAAGCCCTGCATCCATTTCTGTTTCATCTGTTCGTGCATATCGGCAAGCATCTCCTGCTTTGTTGGTAACGTTTTCTCGCCGCTGTAGTATCTGAGACAGAATCTCGCTTGTAGATCGAACATTTGCGCAGCGCAAACGTAGTACGGAAGCCCTATGAAGGTCATCGTCGGATGATTGATGTTGATGCAATGCTTGTACAGAGGATGAACGTAATTGTCTTCTACGATGACCCCACAGTTCTGGCTTAGGAATGGGAAGTTGTAACGATATCCGGTGCAGTAAAGGATAACGGTGAACTCCTCTTGGGTACCATCCTTGTATACCACACCAGTTCGGGTGAGTTCCAAGACGTCGGGTTTTTGAATCAAGTTCGAAGGAAAAATCGTTTTGAAAGATTCCTTCGTGTGGTGGCTCAAAGTTACATGACGTGCTTTGCGGGAAATTTCCAATGCCAAATCCATTCCGGATGGACCAGCTCCGATGACCAGCACCGTCTCATCTATCAATGGAGCAAAATTATAATGTTAAGGAGAGCTATGTATATTTGCCGATTACCCATACCTTTAAAATAATCAGGTGCCCTGTAGTCGTGGCTATGCAGCTGCTTGCCCTCGAACAGATCCATATTGGGAAAGTAAGGCAATCGAGGCGTGTGGTAATGCCCATTGCAAACAAACACGAAATCGAAGAAGAACGTTTCCATTTTGTCTGCCGGGAGATTCTTGACCTGCACTTTCCACCTTTTGGGCTCTTCAACGAAATCCACCGATGACACGTGATGCTCCAGCCGCACATGTTGCGTAACGCCAAATCTGTTCGCGTACGACTTCAGAAAGTTCAAAAAATCCTGCGAAGGAATGTACGATTCTTTTTGCTCCGGGATCGGAAAGTCCGGAAAACCCATAACTTCCTTCGGAAGGTTAGTCCGCAACCCTTGGTACATACTAGTGTGGATATCCAGCCCATATTTATCCTTTCCGACCGCGTCCGTATAGTTCCAGGTTCCGCCGAGCTGGTCGGTCTGTTCAAACACTATCACTTGAGCACCGGTTTCCAGTATTCTCTTTGCCGCAGCAAGTCCAGCAGTGCCAGCACCGATCACACAGTAACAACTTCCGTGATCCATTCCACTTTGTTCTCCGGAACTCCAACCGTACGCGCGTGCCTCAACGAACTATAACGCGACAGCGTTTGCACTAATGATTTATATTTATACACTAAGAGATGCAAAAATTGCAATTGCATTTGCCTTATCAACTGCACTTTTATCAACGAACAATGAACGTGTTCGTTGCTTCTAACCGACCGTGGCTCCTACGAGATGGATGCCCCCTATAGTGTGGTAAACTATAAGTAAACGGCTTCGTTGGTGGATCACGTTTTTATAGACAATCAGGGCTGGCTCGCGACAATAAAGCGGTCAACGCACATTCACAAGCTTTGCGTGCTGCTCGTTGGCTACTCCTTAGTCGAGCGACTACTTTTTTCTATGCGACAGCCGTATGGGCCTTTGTGATGATCGAATCTGGTTGCTATACCGGTACCAGCAACTAGTATTATGCACACGACAGGTAACGTGAATGAGATTTCTTAGTGTTGTAAAGCAACACAATATAGATAGCCAATCGGCGGCATCGATGGAATACCGGTACGCCGCCTATACAGTGGCATAAGACGAGTAGTGATAACAAGTTTCACAGTATGGCTTATCGTATCCACTTACCCTTAGCCTTAGTCACTTCTTCTTCTTCTTCTTCTTCTTCTAAGCTTTTTACGCATCTGTAGCGAGTCTTCTGTCGACTCTCAACTTAGTGTTGTAGATGTTCTTCCACAGGTATTAATCGGGATCTTTCTACGCCAACCAATGCATGAATTTGTATATTGTGTTGCAAGCATAATGATACTCTATGCCCAGAGAAGTCCAGAAAATTTCGAAACCGGAATATTTTCCGGGAATCGAACCCGCCGCCTCCGGCTAGGTAATACCGTGCCTTTACTAGGCTATCTGAGGCCCCATAGCCTTAGTCCCACTAACCCAAATAAATTCGGGTGCCGGTTTTGCTAACTAATAGCGAATTTGTTGATTATCGGTGTGAAACTGATTTTTTTTGTCAGTGCGAACCTCAACTTGAGGTAAAGGGTGTCCACGATGAAATTGCCACACACAAAATTGATTCGCAAAATTCGAGTTTTCATCCGATTGCCATCAAATTTTCAGGGATTGAGAAATAACTATTAAACTTCATTTTACCATTTTACTCGTATTTTATTTACAGTCCATACGCAAATGCCCGCACCTTGGCCTTAACCCAGGCCATAAGATTCTGCACAACCTGTGAATCAACCGTTTTTTGCATGTAAACCCATACTTTCTTCAGTTCCTCGACTGTCTTCACTACCTTAGGTCGTTTAAGAAGGTGCTGCTTCATAATCGCCCAGTACTTCTCGATGGGGCGGAGCTCCGGAGTGTTGGGAGGGTAGAACATTTTCTGCACGAAATTGACCTTATTGTCCGCATACCACTTCAGCACGTCCTTGGAGTAGTGGCATGAGGCCAAATCCTGCCAGAAGATTGTTGGGACGTTGTGGGCCTTCAGGAGAGGAAGCAGCCGCTTCTGGAGGCACTCTTTTATGTACACCTGTCCGTTCATCGTGTCCTGGGTCACGAAAGGTGCACTCCGCTTCCCGCACGTGCAGATGGCTTGCCAAACCAGGAATTTCTTCGCAAATATGGACATCTTCTGAGTGCGGACATGCTCCGGAACGCTGAACTTATCCTTGGCCGTAAAAAACAGGTTGCCGGGGATCTGTTTGAAGTCGGCCTTCACATATGTTTCGTCGTCCATGATGCAGCATTCAACTTTCGTCAGCATGTTGAGGTACAACTTCCTGGCACGGGTTTTGGCGGACTTGTTCTGCTTCTCGTCGCGATTAGGGGCCTTTTGTACCTTGAACGTTCGAAGCCCAGCCTTAGTTTTGGCCTTCTGGACAAAACTACGGCTTAGGTGCAGCTTCTTAGCCACATCCCTAACGGAGGCGTTCGGATTTCGGTTGAAGGCCCCAACTACGCGGTTGTGATTTTTGGTGTTGTACGGAATACTTTTTCCTTCACTTCTGGGCTTCCGATCGGTGGTCAACCGTTCCTCGAACCGCTTAATCACTCGCGACACCGTGGAATTCGCGATTCCCAACGTTTTAGCGATGGAACGATGCGAGAGATCCTTGTTCTCGTGATGAATGCGCAAGATTTTATCACGCACGAGCTGTTCTTTCGACTCCATTTCCGCGAGTTTTGATCACAGGACTTTAAAACTTGCAGGATGTAAATAATGCACTATGAACTAAATCCACCCAAATTTTCATTAAATTCTACCCAACGGTTAAAAAGTTAGAGCAATTTCATAGTGTGGCAATTTCATCGTGGACACCCTTTAGGTTTTAAAAACAAACAATCAAACTGATGTTTGTCAGAAAACAAGCAGAGCCGATCTTGATACCCGGTTGGCACAATTGAAATAGGCGGAATAACCGAACGTAAACAATGGCTTTAAACGCAAATTCCTCGAGACTCAATGCACATCCAAGAAATCTAACACCATCATCTGATAGAGCAAATTTCCTTTATCGAATGGCTTTGTTATAGCGAATTTGTTTATTATCGGGGTTGGAACCAGTTCCAACCCAGTGTGAAACCGAACTTTTTGTCAGTGCGAACCTGAACCTGAGGTAGGTTTTAAAAACAAACGATCAAACTGACGTTTGTCAGAAAACAAGCAGAGCCGATCTTGATACCCGATCCAGGTTGGAACTGAATAATAAACAAATTCGCTATTAGTTTACGTGGGAGTGTTTGATTCTCGAGAATTTTGTGTTTAAAGCCATTGTTTACGTTTGGTTGTTCCGCCTATTTCAATTTAGTGCCCACATTTCAAAGGGGCGTAATTGCTTTTGTAAACAATGGCTTTAGCTATCGATTTCTCGCAAATAAAAGTCCATCCCTTCAAATTAACAATGCTAGCTGGCAAAGTAAACATTCCTCTACCTGCTGGTGTCATTAATCTTCATGAGTAAGTTTTAATTCACGAGAAATCGACGGCTAAAGTCATTGTTTACTAATACAATTACGCCCCTTTGAAATGTTGACACTGAATTGTTGGTCTAGAGTTCATTTGTTTACATGATGGCTTCACCGGAGCAAGCACGTCGCGATTCAATCCTGCATGCTCGAAACGAAAATCTCGTTCTAGCTGCTCTTGGCAGTTTTCGATCAAATTCCTGAACAGGAATTTTATCGTCGGTTGACCAAAACAGTGCTCCGGAAGAATGTAAAATTAAAAAGAAGTAGAAATTCTCCACAGGCCCTTATTACGAGCACGCAGGCAAAAAGAACGTAAGAATTCCATAAGAAACGCTTGTGAATTTTAGCCATAAGAAATGAGTGTGTATTTCATTGATTTGCCTTTTGAAAAATAATTTTGACGAAAAAATAATAAACCGGAGCAGACTGGAACCGGCGTTGAGGTTAGGGGGGCCCGGATGTTGACCACTTTTCTTTCAACGCTTGTGAAAATGAAATGATTAAAGGTGTATAAGAACCATAGGCGTAGCCAGATAGGGGCAGGGGGGGGGGGGGCGACTGCCCCCCCCCCCTAAACTCGGCAACACAAAGGCTTTCGAGGAAATGGCGTTCGGTGAAATGGCATTCGGCCAAATTTTCCATGGTAATTTTTTTTTCGCCCCTCCCTAGCTCGAAACCTGGCTACGCCCTTGATAAGAACTACCTCATGCTACCCGAAAATCATTCATAAGTCGAGCCTTATGAAATTCTTAGGTCTATTTGCCTCAGTGAGTATCACTTCACGGTGAAAACGAAGTAAAGTGACCACTTGTCACTCACGGTGAAGTGATTGCCGTGTAAATCAAATGGGAATCGCTTCACCGCGAGTGACAAGTTGTCACTTTACCGTGAAGTGACATCGGTAATAGGGGCCAAAAAGTTCATTGTCTGGCAAGCAATCTGCAATTGTGGGCTAAAAAACGAAACTTTCGTTACTTCTGGGACCATGAACCATAAAATTTAGCAGGAGGAGTGCCTACTAGACTGATGCAAATTTTGACATTTTCGCTCCACAGTGCTCAAACGGTTTCAAATCGGGTCCTGATTAGTCTCCCAAAATTTGAACTCATTTGAAAAGAAACTGACTTGGCACAAACCATTTGAAGTTTCTATGGAAATTACTATGGGAAATCCAAACTTTTTGTTCATTGTCTTCTTACCTTTTTCCATATGGCACTGTTCAAAAATTCAAAAGCTATACTTATGGAAAATTTTCTCAACTTCAACTTAGGGGCTCTCCATAAACTACGTAGACAGTTTAGGGGGGGGGGGGTTGACAATTAAATTTGTTAGATGGATATGAACAAAACATTTGGTTTTCCAATAGTAATTTCCATATAAACTTCAAATGGTTTGTGCGAAGTCAGTTTCTTATCAAATGAGTTCAAATTTTGGGAGACTAATCAGGACCCGATTTGGAACCGTTTGAGCACTGTGGAGCGAAAATGTCAAAATTTGCATCAGTATAGTGCCTACGGAAGAGACTACTGCCTTTTCTGGAGCAGCCAAATGCATGGCACTACAAACGTATTATACTTCCCATAAGCAGAAATTATTCGAGACATTATTTGAGTTTTTCTCATATGCTATTTTTAGAACATAGGATGCGGCATATGGATATTCGTTCTATCCAAATGGGAAAGGTTCGAACTAGGTTGCTTGCTCATTTGCCTTAGCATTGCTCTAGGGTAAACGCACATATATGTCACTGCTGAGATCTCAGTGAAACTACACGGAGAAAAACTACTACTCTAAATTTGAGTTCTTTTTACTTAATATTGAGTTCAGCTTCTCACTTGCACTCTTCATTGTTGTCAAAAAAGAAACGAGAGATTCGACCCAACGATATAGTTCAGCCAATAAGTTACTTTTGAGTAAATTTCATATTCTCAAATTTACGTGAATTAAACTTAATTTTAGTTAGAATATACTTAAGAGCAAGTAATTTTTTTTGCTGGTGTTAAATGGAAACTACTGAGGTAGAGAACTACTTCGGCCTAATCGCCCATTTTGGGCCTATCGAGCAGAAAACTTCAAATAAATCCATGATTTCAGAGTTAACCAATCAATTATGCGTTTGGTACGATACTTTATTTAATAAGCTACCGAACGAAGTCAATGAGAACGCGTGGTATGAAAATTTGCACCCATTATTCCGAAAAACAAAAGAAGTGC